GTCTCCTTCCACGGGGACGTGACCGTCTACCTCTTCGACCAGGTGCGTGGCCACGGAGGGGTGCGCAGGACTCTGGGGGCGGGGCCTGGACGAAGACCGCGCCTAGATTGGGGGCGGGGTCTGCTGGGTGAGGGCGGGTCAGGGAATGGGGTAGGCACTGGAGGAAAGCCGCTCCTCAGGTGGGGGCGGGGCCTGGGAGAGACGGAAGAGGGTGGGACTTGGAGGTCGGGTTGAGTCCTAGAGTAGGAGGTCGGGGCCTTGGATGGGCGGAGCCGGGAGGAAGACCCGAGCCCAGAGGCAGAAGTGGAGCTAGGGGTGAAGATGGCGAGAGGTCTGTGATGGAGTGGGTGCTGCAGGGTTGAGGAGGGGCCTGGAGGAGGGGCCTGCAGGGAAAGCGGGCTACCTATATAGTAGACAGAACGGAGCCAGGAGAGGCTAAGGAGAAAGTGAGAGGATTGGGGCGTGGTCTGTAGGTGGAGGCAGAGTATAGTGAATCTCGGGGCGGGACTTGTCCACCAGCGCTCTATCGACGTAGAGGTTGAGGGGCCGACTCAGGATGGAACGGATCTTACCCACTAGGGGCGGGCGATGCAGAAGCTGTTGGTGGGGTTTAAAACATGCGGCTTGTAGTGTTGATAAGTGCAGGAGTGGGTTCAGGGATGGGACCGAGCTAATGAACTGGGGCGGGGCTTAGAGAGATGAATTGAGGATTGTGTTAAGAGTAACTAGCCTGGGAGGATAATGCTGAAGAGCAAAACAGAGGGCAGTGTGGTGCTTGTGGACTGGGGCCATGTCTAGGTGAACCTGGGGCGGGGCATGCTCCTAAGACGAGTGGGAACAGGGTCACGAGCTGGAGCCTAGGCTTCTGAAACAAAGGGGCGGGGCTTGGACGGCTGGAGCGGGGCCACTTCAGAGGGCGGGGCTTAGGGGCTTGCAGGAGGTTTGGGAGGTGCTCAGGATCGGGTAGGGGTTTTGAGGACCATAGAAGCATGTAGTTCTGGGGCCCGCACTTAAACGCCTGCGGCCGAGATCTGAGACATAGGTAAATGTCATAGAGGTCGGGCTTCCGGAGATAGTCCTGGGTTAGGGGCTTCCGTGGAGGCAGCGCCTTAAGGAGCAGGGAGAGAATTCCTTCCGTAGAATGCTTAGCTGTGGACGGTGCTCCATAGTCGGGAGAGGTGCCTCAGGCCGGGGTGGGGTTAAAGCTGGCCTGAGGCTTCCAAGGCAGATTAGGGGACCTCCAGAGAGAGCGATTGTAAATTGGGATACCTGAAGCCCCAGAAATATTAGCAGGGTTTGTTACTTGTTGGGATGCAGTGAGTGGGATGTGACATTTCGCCGCCCCTCACCTTCACAGGAGACGCCAACCAACGAGCTGAGTGTCCAGGGCCCCCCCGAGGGGGACACGGACCAGTCAACGCCCCCAGCGCCCCCGACGCCTCCCCACCCCGCCACCCCCGGAGATGGGTTTCCCAACAACGACAGCGGCTTTGGTGAGGGGCGGGGCAGGGCAGCGTTGGGGGCGGAGTCTATTGACAGGGGCGTGGCTTGTGGAGGGCCGGGGTTGGAGGGCAGGAGGTGAAGTTGGGGGGCTGAAGAAGTGACTGAGGGTCTGACCCGTCCTCTCCTCTTCCCCCTCACCCCACAACCCTAGGAGGCAGTTTCGAGTGGGCGGAGGATTTCCCCCTCCTCCCCCCGCCAGGCCCCCCCCTGTGCTTCTCCCGCTTCTCCGTCTCGCCTGCGCTGGAGACCCCGGGGCCCCCCGCCCGGGCCCCCGACGCCCGACCCGCAGGTACCGTGCTTCAGACTCTCGGCCCTGCCCCACCTCTGCCAATCTCTCTGCCCCTGTCTCTGAATTTCCCTGCCTCTCCCAGTTTCTCCCTTCCCCTTCTCTTAGTCAATGTTCCAGCTCACCAGTGAAACCCCACCTAACTCTGGAACCAGCTCAGACCAAGCGATGTCCATCAGATGGGCTCCGAGACTCAATTCCCAACCCTCCAAGTCTTGCCCATCTCTGCCCCATCTCTGGGCTAAGACTCCTGATCCCGCCTCCTTTTGGGGGCATAGTTGATTGGAGACAGACAGGGAGAGAGAGGACACCAAGGGGCTCAAAATGAGTTAGTCCGAACCAGAGAAGAGCGGACATGGCCAAGGAGCCCCACAGCGGTACAACAATGGTGCTGCTACTACCAGTAACAGACCCTAGAATGTGCCTGCTGCATCTTAACCCATTTAAGCCTATGAGCGCATGGGGTGGATTCTAGTCTCATCCCCATTTCACAGAAGAGAAAACTGAGGCACAGAGAAGAATCAGGAACCTGGATGGAAACCCTGACTGCCTGGCCCTCTCCAGTAGTCAACATCTGTCAGCTTCCTTTCTTGTACAGTTTTATGTATGCCATATCACTAATCCTCACTACCACCTAGGGAGAACGCCCCTGGACACAGGGCTTGCACTGGGCCAGGCAGGTGGAGGTGTTCCTTGACGACAGAGCTAACTGGCCCTTTTCAGGGCAGGTTCCATTCCTGCTCCAACCACAACCACATTGTACCTGAGTCCAGGTGCTGGCCCTGCCATTTCTTGGCTGTGTGACCTAGGGCAAATTGCTTTCCCTCTCTGTTCCTCAGTTTCTGTTAGAATGGGGATGATACCAGGATCTAATTCATAAGACTTTAAGGGGATTAAATGGCTTAATCCTTTCCATGCACGCAGCACAGAGCCTGGTCTCTAACTGGTAGCTGTTACTGCACTTAATAAAATAGATGATTATTGCAGTATAGCTCAGTGGTAGGGTGCATGCTTAGCATGCACAAGGTTCTGGGTTCAACTCCCCAGTACCTCCATTAAAAGAAAAACCTAAAAAAAAATATAGATGCTTATTGAGCATTGGCTGTGCTGGGCATTGGGGCTTCTGGACTGGGCAAGATCAGTGAGTCCCACTCCGCCCCACCCACGGCACTGACCCCACAGTCCCCCAGTAAATGAATAACTGCAAAGTCATGGTTACTGAGAAAGCAGATGACAAGAGGAAAGGGCTTTGTCTCCTTGATGGTGGAAGTGTCATTTAACTAGGGACTTGAAGGGTTGGTTGTTGTTAACTAGGTGAAGGGGAAGGGGACAGCAGGCTAGCAGATGGAACAGCTTGCATTGAGGGCCTAAGGCAGGAGAGAGCTTGGCCAGTTCCTGGAACAGAAGGGAAGTGGGTGTGTCTGCAGGTTACTTGGAGAGTGGGGTGGATGGGGCTGGGGACAAGGTGATAGAGAACAGGTCAGACCATGTAGGGCGTAAGGGTGGGCTGAGGGGCGGAGCTTTGTCCCGGGAGCACTGGAGAGCCGAATGTTGTGAGCAGGGGAGGGGCAGCATCGGCCCTGGGTATAAGAAGACTTCTGGGGGCCACGTGAGGGTCAATGGAGGCAGGGAGGCTGGGGAAGAGGCCAGGGCGAGAGTCCATGCAGAGAGTCATAGGCTGAGGGCTGACTCTTCACTTGGCAACATCCTCAGATTTTACCCCAAATGTCACTTCGTCCCAGAGTTCTTCTCTGAGGCCTCCCTGAGGACAGGGCAAGGTGGGTTCCAAGGGGTGGGGACACTGGCCCAGTGGTGAGTCAGGACTGAGGCCGGCAGGCCCAGCAGTCGGAGATGACTTCACCTTTAATCACCAGGAGAGGAAAGGGACGGTGTAAAACCGCAAATCTCCACTGCAGCTGGGCTGGGATGCTACTGAGCCTGTTTTCCGAGACCGTGGTGTGGGGGCCTCTTTTCTTCGTTGGATTCCTGTGCTCAGCATGGCTCTGCCCACTTCACACATGTTCCCTGGGTGCTAAGTGATGCCCCATATCCCAGAGTTCTCTGCTGCTTTGAAAAGGACATGAGGGGCATGCTCCCCATTTAAGGAGAGGGAAACTGAGGCTCAAGGACAGGGAGGGAGGGCAGTGACTTGACCCAGCTCACCTACGTGACAAGTGCAAGGTGGAGAGGGAGGGTGCCCAGGGTGTAGCCCTCGGCAAGAGCCTCCCCCGCACAGGCCTTGGTTTTCTGGATCTGTGGAATGGGTCGGGGGCTCTCCTTCCCCTAAGAGAGAAGGGGTCATGGGAGGGTTTGGCAGAAGGGTGTTTTGTGCAGGGTCAGGGCTGGATGCTGGGGATGCAGCAGTGACCGAATGTCCTGTCCTCTCTGATCTTCCATTCTAGAGGGACAAGCAGACAGGAAGCTGACTGAGATTGTCCCAGGGGAGAAACGTGAAGGAAAATAAATATAGTGCAATGAGACAGAGTGATGGGGTGGAATGGGAGGGGTGGGGGTGACTACTGGTTGACTGAGAACAGCCAGAGAAGGCCCCTAGGGAGGGGCCATGGCAACAGAGGCCTGAGTTCTCTGAAAAGGGCTAAGGGCATGCCAACGGCCCTGGGGTAGGACTGTGCTTGGAACGTAGGGAGAACCATGAAGGAAGATCAGTGTGACTGGAGCACAGTCAGTTGGGAGAGGGAGTAAATGAGGACAGAAAAGGGCCAGAGCGTTGTGTGGGGCCTTGTGGGCCATGGTGAGGGCTTTGTTTTCACTCCCATGAGCCAGAAGCCATGAGCCTTTCCATCCAGTAATTCCACTCCTCTCTCCACTCCCTCCATCCTCAGGCCCCGTGGAGAACTGATTCCCCGAAGACCCGACCCCCCTGCACCCCCAGAAGAGGGGTTGAGAGTAGAATCCTCTGTGGACGACGGAGCCACTGCCACCACCACAGACACCACCTCCGGGGAGGCCCCTGAGGCTGGGCCCTCCCCCTCCCCCACCATGTGCCAAACGGGAGGCCCAGGCCCCCCGCCCCCCAGCCCCCCGGATGGCTCCCCTGAGCCCCCCGACCCCCTTGGTGCCAAATGAGGCAGGAAGCCCCTCGCCCCTCCCTGGAGAGCCGCCTTTCTCGGAACTGAACTGAACTCTTTGGGCCTGGAGCCCCTCTGCACAGCGGAGGCCCTTCCTCACCCACCCCCAGCCCCAGACAGGGGCCGCAGGCTTCGGGGACCTGGCCCCCCCCATCTCGCGTCTCCCCTTCCCCACCGTGGACCGGCCCCTGGAGGGGCCTCTGGTTCAAACCTTCGCGTGGCATTTTCACATTATTTAAAAAAGACAAAAACAACTTTTTGGAGGAACGTGGGGTGCGTGTGTGTTTCAGGAGGCAAAGGGGAGGATGCAGGGGTCAGCTGCCGTCCAGGAGGCACGGCCGTCCTCACAACCCCACTTGACAGATGGGATCATCAAGGCTCAGAAGGGCAGAACGGCCATGTAGCAGTGAGTCCCTGGCCTCTCTGCTTCTCAGATCCCAGCTCTGTGTCTTGTGCTGGCATCACCGACTTCTGCTGTGGCCTCAACTTATAGTTCAAGAGGATCTATCTCCCTACCCGTGGTGACTGTGCCTCAGTTTATCTGTTTCTCCATGTGACCACCCATCTCCCTGACCGAACCTCTCCATTCAAATTTGTTTCTTTAGCTCCCTGTTTCACTCACCTCAGTTCTCGTCTACCCGTCTTTATGTTTTCCCATCTCTCCATCTGTCTTTCTCTCAGCCTTTCTTCCTGTCTGATTCTATTTCTATTTCTTTGTCTGAGTTTCTCTGTCTCTACTTTTTTTCTCCTTGTCTGTGTATCCCCATAGCCTTCCTGTCTCTATGATTTCTTTCTGCCATGGGTTTTTGCTTCGGTTTTTTCCCTGATTTGTCCTGGGCTCTTAACTGATTCTGACTCCATCTGTCCTTTCTTTCCTCTGACTGGGTCTGTCTTCGCATCTCACCTCCTGGCTTCAACCTGTCCCTCATCACCCTGGAAGCCAGATTCCTTTGTGTATTTGAGGGATGCAGTTTGGATGAAGGAGGGAAGGGGGTCAGGAGTGGGGACCCAGCTGGGATGCTGTGGACTGCTGGCTTAGGAATTAAGGTGATGAAGGCATTAGGGTCACATGTAAGTTGTGGGGGATGGAGGGAGAGGCAGAGGATTAGGTTTTGCCTCTTTCCACTACTGCCACTGCTGGGAGACCAGGTGGTTCTCCAACTGATCTCAGAACACGTCTGCCCAGGGTGGGCGGTGCATGGAACCCAGCTAGGTTAGGCTCCTGGGTCTGAGGGAGAAGGGGTGTGTTTGTTCACTCTGGCTGCTGTAACAAAATCCCACAAATTGGGTGGCTTAAACCACAGATATTTATTGGCTCACAGTTCTGGAGGCTGGAAGTCCAAGATCTTGGTGTCGGCAGCGTTGGTTCCTCCCGAGGGCTGTGAGGGAGCGTCTGTTCCAGGTGTGTCTCCCAGCTTCCGGTGGGCTGCTGGCCATCTGGGGTGCTCCTTGGCTTGTAGAAGCATCACCCTGATCATGTCACACGGCGTTCTCCCCTTGTTTGTCTCTGTGTCCAAAATGTTCCTTTGTATAAGGACACTGATCAAATTGGATTAGGGCCCACAGTAATGACCTCATCTTACTAATTATATCTGCAATGATCCTATTTTGAAATAAGATCAAATTCTGAGGTACTACGGGTTAGGATTTCCATCTATGGATTCGTGGGGGGACACAATTCAATCTGTAACAAAGGGGTTGTGAGTATGGTGTCCTGGGAGAGGATGGGGCTGGAAGCCAGAATTCTCAATCCTTAAGAGGAAAGATTGGGGGCAACAGTGAAAGACAATTTTGAGGTGGCAGAAGTCTGATCTGAATGTTCCACAGGCATCTCCAGCTTAATTTGGCCAAAACAGGACCACTGGTTTTCTCCCCCCATGAATTCCCTCTTCAGCCAGCTCAGTTGATGACATTGCTGGTCACCAGTTGCTCGAGCCAGAATCCCAGAGGTGACCCAGCCTGCAGCAGGTCCTGCTGGCTCCTCTTCCAAAATGGCTCAGGCGGGTCCAGGTCTCTTCACCTCCACCCGTTACACCAGGATGACAGCACAGCCTCCTAACTTACCCAGCCCCTGCTCACCTTCAGATCGCTCTCCTGCAGCAGCCAGAGGCCCCGCCTACAACCTCAATCCAAATACATCACTCTCCTGCTTCATGCCCTTGGATGGCTTCCCATCAGCTAAGAATACATCCAAAATCCTAGCATGGCTGTCCACACCCCAAATGATCAGGCCCAGGCATCCCCTTCATTTCCTGTCACCCCCACTCCCTCTCCCTCACCACCAAAGAGGGACTGCTGTGTTACTCCAGTACACCATGCCTTTTCCTGCCTCCACACATGCTGTTCCCCCTCTGCCCTTCCCGGGCATCTCCACTGGGTCAGCTCCTTCCCCACAGGAGGCACTCAGTACCTGTGGGTTCGTTCCATGGTGAGCAACACAGGGTGAGATAGTGGCAGGACCCTCTACTGATACAGGGACCTCATTTCCCCTGACCTTGGGTGGATGGCTCCATTTCTACAGAAACTTTGGGAGGAGTTAGGAATTTCATTTCCTCCTTTGGAAACCCCACTTTCCATCAGCCCCAGGGGTCCAAGGACCTTGTTTCCCAACCTGTGGAAGGGCGCAGGATCAGGCTAAGGGAAACCTGAGAAACTTCATCTCCCGGGAGGCCTCCAAAATGGCTCTCCTCCCAGCGTGGTGGCCGATGCCACAGCTCACCCGGAATTGTAGTCTGCAGTCTCACAGGAGCGAGGGGCGTGTTACAGCGCTAAGGAGCCTTCACACCTGCGGATGGACTTGGTGGCCAAGGGTGGGGCTGGGACCAAGGCCTGAGATTCGGGATCCTCCCCACTCCACTGGGAGCAATCAGGGGTTTGGCCCTCGGGGACAGAGGACACAGCAGGCAGGAGTAACTGCGGTTCTGGCGTGTCCCAGGGCCACAGGTTTCCCTTCCAGCGGGGTCTTGGTCCTGGACCTGCCTGGAGTTGTGGTTTCTTGTACTAAAGCCTCCTCAGCTGCAGATCTGGCCACAGGAGAGAGATACAGGGTCTCCCAACACCTTTCTCGGGATCCATGCACCTTTGTTCTTTGGGGACATCATGCACACCCCATGCTGGAAGGGAGGACAGGCCTGAACCTGGGGCTCAGGAGTACCACACCTCCCAAGTTTTCACCCCCAGAGAAGGCAGTCCTTACACTTCTGGAGACCTCCGGAATCCTGGGGAAGGAGTAAAAATGCAGTTTCCCAGCACTATCCCTGCTTGGTGCGAAATGTCTCCAAAGGAGAATAATCCTCCGATGGCTGAGAAACGCCGTTCAACTGGCCAGAGGCCTGTCCTCTTGGCCCCAAAGCCCTGCCCCATCTACATGGTCCCAGCCCATTTTCCACAGCACTGACCTCTTGCCCAGCCCCATCAGCAAGGCCTTCCCACTCACTGTACTCAGTACCTGGGCCTTTTCCGTTCTTTCCAGATTCACCCTACACCCTGCCAGAGCAGGTCCCCTTCAGAGTCCTTCCAGCTCTCCAGTTCTCCCTCAAGACTAGCCTAGCACATCAGATACTCCTTGCTGTCCCTCCAAGACCCCAAGCCCAGGAGGGCAAAGGTGGGACGAGCACCTGCCTGGCTCCTGGCTGTCCAGTAAAGTCTAGAATGAATGTTGCACATCGTCCGGGAACCTCTACCTGCCTACATCCTCAGGGCCACGCAGCTCTAACTCACTGCTAACTCTGGCCACGCTATTCACCCTTCACTCTCTCCCTGCCGGCCAGCAGTGAAACCGGAAGTGAGCTGTCCCAGAGAGGCCCCCGTGGGGCTCCAGGCTTGGACAGCACCCTTTCCTCACGCGCTCTGAGAGCTACCGACAATCCACACTCCTGGCCGAGGTCACGGATGCGGCTGCCTGGCTGGGTCCGTCAACCCCAAGGAATGAGGGGGTCTGCAGGCCGCGAGTGGTTAAATAATTAATAAGATTACCAACAGCGTGTTAATTACAAATAACGAGGGAGGAGCTAGAGGTGGTGAATCTTCCAAACGGGGACCGGGATCCGCAGCCCCAGGGCCCGGGGGTCCGGCCACCCGGGTGGGGCAGCTCCGTAATAAATAATGGAGTTGGGGGCCGGGGGTCAGGGCTGCTCCTGCTTCTTCTTGACAGAAATCCGCTTCTTCCTGGCTGCCAACATCTCATAGAAGGGGTCCACACTCACAGCTGCCCTGTGGAAGGGGCGGATCCCAGGATGAGGGCTGGGGAGTGTGAGCCCCTCGCCCCCACCTCCCCGAGGACTCCGGGACCCAGGCTCACTGGATGGACTTGATCCACTCGTCCTTCTCCTCCTGCGTGGGGGCCGAGATCCGGTACACCATGTGGTTCCCCTCCACCACCCGGCCATCTGCCTCTGTTTTGCAGGCTTTGATAAGCTGCCCCTTGTTATTGGGGATGTACAGCTCGAAGCAGTTCTGGAGAACAAGGACAGCGAGGAAGAGCCAGCCCTGGGGCCAGAGGCGCCCCTACCCCCCCGCCGTGGCAGCACCGGGTACAGAGAGGGTCTTACTGGTTTCCGGGGGTCGTCCACCTCGCGGATGCTCAGATTCTCCAGTGGGATGATTCCTCGGGGCTCCTTGTCCTGAGAAGACAAGTCAGACTCAGACTTGCAAATCCTCACCACAGGTCCCCTCCTCCCTGGGACTCGGGAGTCCAGGCCCCCATCCCAGCCCTGCCCCTGCTCTTCCACCCAACCCCGCCCCGCCCTGCCCTCACCGTTGTGTATTCAAAATAATAGAGGCAGTTGTCCGTGAGGATAAACCAGCGCCGCTTCCACGTCTTCACCCGGCCCCCTGGAAGGGAAGGGGGGAGGGGGCCTGGGCTCAACAGGGGGACAGGGCCTCTGGGAGGGTGGGGAGGGGGTGAGAGACAGGGTGAGTGCAGGAAAGGTGGCGCTGTCAGGGCCTAGGACCAAGCAGTACGTGGGAAGAGACAGACAAGCATGGGGACAGGGGACAGGCGTGTCTGAGCCCCGGGAACCATCCATCCCAGGCGGGGAGACGCTACACTTTCTAAGCCTGTGTTGACCTGGGCGGGGAGTCTGAGCCCCCTGCCCCCTCCTGTGGGCCCCAGGCCAGGGCAGCCCCCTCCCCGCCCCTTGTGCTGTGTCAGGGAGCAAGGACAGGCCGTGTACCTACCTCCTGGGGCAGACAGCGAGAAAGCAGGCAGGACCAGGCGAGGAGAAGGGAGGCGAAAGAAGGGGGTGTCCCCCCAGAGCCACAGGGAG